TTCATCCCAAAGTTGCAGTTTAGTTTCTTCTAAACATAGCTGAAAGGCCTTTTTGATTACGTTATTTTATCAACTGTCGCCCAAAGCTACGTCTTGAATAGCTTGCAAGCAGATCTTCTTATGTCTGAGCACTACTTGCTCATGATGCCCATGGTGCACGTGGTGCAGGATTCGAGGCTTCTCCGAGGGAAACAGGTATGGTATCCGTTCCCAAGGGACCAAACTATTTATCTGAATTTCTGGCCAAACCTAGAATTTGACCTAAATGCGAAAACGCGAGCAAGTCACATTGTTATCCGGGCCCCAAACAGCACTTCTAGAGATGACAAATCTTGGACGACGGGGGAAAGGATAGAGAGGGAGGCTCTACTCGGAAATAATGCCTCGCTGATGATGCTAGAATGATGTAGACGGTTAAGCTAAATACTATTTTTTATCTTTTCTGAAGTGTGTTCAGAAAGTTTATCTCGTCATATGTGGAGGGTCACGTAACTCTACGCAAGCATGTTGGACTAGCAATGTTAGAGACCTTCCTAGCTATCTTACTGCAAACGGCAAAAGAACAAACTCGCCAAGGAGTTGATCCCCTGACCTCTTTTTCGTGAGCCAGACCACTGCCCTGCGCTTTTCTGCTTCATAATTCTTTTCAGAGAAGAGTTTAGCAGATCTTGGAAGCAGATTCGAGGTCATCGTCTCAAGGCGCATATTGAGATATATTGAAATGAGGTATACATCTAATTATCAACTGGTCGGCTTGGCCAAATCACCTTTTATGGTATGGCGTCAAGAACAGCAATGCTACAAATGTGGAAACGCAAATGTGACTCAAATCTTACGGTGTCGCCATGCCATACATTCTACCCATGTAAGGTGGTGAAGTCTGAGCAAATCTGCCAGAATTAAACATCCCTCCTCTCGATTGGTACTGCAATATCAGTTCTTTGGTAATAAAGAAGAGAAAACGAGAATTAAAAGCCTATTTCACGCTGAATCTAATCGTGTGTAGAGCTCCACACAAAACTTTAAGATGAATCGGACTTTTGTGCTCTGGCAAGTGGAGCGTTGCTCCTGTCACCCACGGTGCTAGACAACGCGGCGAAATGACTGCTTCTCGCTCGTCCACTGCACTCTCTCATTCAGAGTCTGCTCTCACGCCTTCTCACCCAACATCTCCTAGACTTTCTGACAAAAGCTCGCACGACGGACTAGTACATGGCCTTAGAATAATGGCCCTTATTTCCAATGTTTGCGGGTACTGTGGGTGCCAGAAAACTTTAAAGGACGAATTCACGATGAAAAAGCAACCCATTTCAAATTAACCTAGGGATGGTGAGTGGTACACGAAAGAAGGAAGAACCATGAGAAACGGCCCAGAACCCGAGAAATGGGACCCCTTCCTTGCCCGTTGATTTGAGCATTGATGCGACTCTCATCGCTGTGCCCC